AACGGTGCCGACAATATTATCGTTTATCGCAATAATTTCCAGAAAAATGTATCGTCCAACACAATTAATTATCGTGACAGGCCTAATGTATTTCAATCGTAAGGCTCCAAACCCTTACTTAAAACTTTTAAATTTGAATAAGCCACTAACTAGTGCTGCACGAATAATCTAATACAATCATAATATGAGCCTCTGCGATTGTTGAACCACAAAAGGCTGCAACTTAATTCGAAAATGTGCATTTGACATATTTTCTGTTTATGTGCACGTTGATTATCATTTACGCCCACGCTGCATGGCCGTCCTGTCAGCTTCTGTTTAGTCCTTGAAGCCTGTGCCTTGTTGGTCACATGACTATTCGCTGTGCAGAGCCAGAGACCAGTTTAAATGGTTGCTAATGCTATCAGCTGCTAGACCCTGAGCTAGTGACATTTTCTTAAATCCGTGCAGCCCTATCACTAACCAAAACTACAATGTATATTAGAGATTTATATAAACCAAAACTGCTTTCAGATAATGGAAGCCACTTATTTGGGTCATAGACTGTTGAGTCTGTATGGATCTCTAGGGTAAATATGCTCATCCTTTCCTCCAAATAGAGCACAGCTGTTTGCCCAACCAGTACCGCTGCTCTAACGGCCGCTGCATCAGCAGCATCTGGAAGTGCGACAGCGACAACGACTGCGGAGACATGAGTGATGAACAAGAGTGTCGTGAGTACTCAGCCACTGCTCTCGTTATGCAGACAAGGGCTCTTTCTACATTAACAACAAACAACTATAATGTTGTCCTTGTTTAGCCACTGTGGTGGGAATTTATTTATCAAATGTGGATAGAGAATCAAACCATTCAGCTGTCTTTGTCCTATTTTATTTCTTGCAAGAAAGTTGAGTCAGTCATACTCTCTGCATACAGTCTGCAGAGTGAAAGACGAAGAGTAGAGTTTGGGTTGCATATTTAAACACAGAGAGAGGAGAAAGGGTGGGGTTGAGCTTGGTGATAATGAATGGAGCATTCTAGAAGTTTAGGGAGTTAGGGAGGTCATATCAGGATGTTCTCAGTTCACCTGAGTTGAAGGTCATACTGTTGGTGCACATGGAGTGTAACTAATAACATTGCAACAAATCTTCTTAATAAGGAATGTTCCCAAGCTTAGCTAAGAAGAGTGAGAAGGAGTAAATATAGATAAACATTAGCAAATAAGAATCACACAATGATATTATTAAAGTCAGTAAGTGAGTATAATATGTTTCTATTACAGCCACTACGACCTGTGACCCGTCCAACCAGTTCCGCTGCATGGCCTCGGGTTCCTGCATCCCTCTGGCCTTCAAATGTGACCATGAAGACGACTGTGGAGACAACAGTGATGAAGAGCACTGTGGTGAGATGGGGCTTCTTTTTTTTTTACTGCAGCCAGCAAATGTGAAAAACTGTTATCATATACACTTTGTTTTTAGTGTTCACAGAGTTTTTTGTCTTTAGAAAGATGACAATAGGCATAACAAAAGTGGAAAACTGTTATTATATAACTCAAAAAAAGAAAGAAGTCATTTATACATCAGTTTCTCTCCCTGTGTTACAAAAGGTTGTTCCCCCCCACAGTGAACGAATAATCAAACATAACATAGAAAAGCCCTAATAAATAAAGATTCCATCACATTACCCACCAAATAAGCACTGATATTTGGTTGACTTCAAAAACTCAATCAATCCAATGTCAATCATATTCATTTTGATAGAAAATACATTTTTAGGTTGCTGACAAAATATGATGACAGACATTTAAAGCTTAATTCCAATATCATAACAGTGCTTTAAAAGTAAATCATACTTTTTGCAAGTACTAACGATAGTGTTGTTGCATCTCTCAGACACTCACCAGTGCGGCCCTGGAGAGTTCACATGTGCTCGAGGTGTTTGTATCCGCGAGGCGTGGCGCTGCGATGGAGACAACGACTGCAGAGACTGGTCTGACGAGGCCAACTGCACAGGTGAGCGCTGGGCCACTGACTGTGTACAACATGAAAACAATAGCAATCTCATAAGCCATGAGAACGTTATATTTACATACATATATTTGCGAAGGTAGAGATTTGTATTTGCTTATGCAAAAACTAAATTAATGCATCATCAAAGCATAGCCACTTGCACTAAGTGTGTGTTGCCGTTAGAGTTGTCATTTTGTAAGGGAAATGATGATACATTTGTCAGCGCTTTGTTTTTCATGACTAGTATGACTTCATCAACAGTCAATGTTGCAAAAGGACAAACTAAAGTGTCGTTTAAACAACAACAAATATTTTTTTTAATCTCCAAAAAGGTGGAGAGTACATATTTTAGAATAGTATCTTTAGTGTGGAAAAACTTAAGGATATTGTGACTGAAATGTTCAATATTATATTTTTCATTGACTACAATTAGACTACAAAAGTTACAGATATATTTGAGACTTAAATGGCCTGACATTTAGTTTCTATAACTTGACCAAGAAAACAAAAGGTTGACTAAATATGATACTTTTTTTAAAAGGCCAAAAGTCTGAATAAAACAATAGATACAAAAATTAAACTGCAAACACTACATTTCAGATTAAACGGGTTTAATGCTCTCATGTGTAAGCTATTCTCTGTTTTACCCTTAAATCTCGTCCTGTTTGTCCCTAGTTGGCCACCATACGTGTGAGGCCAGCAGCTTCCAGTGTCACACAGGTCACTGCATACCTCAGCGCTGGATGTGTGACGGTGATGACGACTGCCAGGATGACTCAGACGAAGACCCCCGGCATTGTGGTAAGATGAGCCACACACACACTCAACAGTGTCATTGTGGCACATTTTAGACGTGTCAGACACACATTTAAATCTCAGCTGGATCATGGGTGTGAGAGTGTTTATTTACTTCACAAACGAGGACTTCTGCTAAGAAAAAATGGTGCATTCCACTTAGTACCAATAGCTGGAACTGCGGCCACAGCAACGTAACTTAAAGTAAACGGCAGCACTGATTGAGGTTTACTGTAACTGTGTAGTCTGTTCACATTTTCTTTTCCATCAACCAGCCTTTAAACACTGCCAGAGCCCATACCGTGTCCCCGTTAGTGTTTACTTCCTGGGCTTCTTCTTCTGTGGATTTTTTTGACTTCCAGCGCTCTATCTTTCAACCATTGTCTTCTCTTGCGCTCTTTTCCTTTTCTTTACTGGGCACTTTAGCCATCATGAATCCAAAGTGTTGTGGTCTCCACAAATATAAAAATGATTGTTCAAAAAGTAATCCACAGGGTTTACTGATGGAGGATCAGGAACAGCTGACGTAATTGACCGGACTTCTTTCTGCGGATTGATATGACTGCACATATTCCCTAGATCAGAGTGTCCTTCTTAGCAACGGTCTGCTAGCGAAAAATAACAGACCTCTGGAATGTCCTAATTGACCAATCAGAATTGAGTATTTAATTAGGCTGTGTAATAAAATATATACACAGTCATGAAATTAAAGGTGATTAATAATCTAATTCTGTGTGTTTCCAGGAGGAACTAAATGTAACGGCTTCCTCTGCTCCAATCACACCTGCCTGCCGGCCACGGCACACTGCAACGGCATCCAGGAGTGTTCAGACGGAGCTGATGAGCACAACTGTGGTGAGAGACCCCCGAATGTTAATAGATTTCTCTGTTTTAGGAGTTAATCAGTACTGTATTTGACACGTGCGTAACATTGACTTTTTCAATATGTATATGGAATATTTATCGGACCCTTAAATACCTGTAGAAATCCTGTAGAATAAGTGTGTTATAACTAGTGTTTACAAGTCCTTAGCATGATGGTTTCTGTCTTCTTTGTTTGACCCACAGACCCGCTGTGTACTCGCTACATGGAGTTTGTGTGCAGGAACCGAGCCCAGTGTCTGTTCCAGTCTCTGGTTTGTGACGGCATCAAACACTGTGAGGACGGATCTGACGAGGACGCAGACTACGCTGGATGTGGTGTGTTTCTTACCCTTATAATCCATGAATGTAACACTTTTTAGGGAAGTAACTCTGAAAAGCAGTACTTCAACTTATGGTGCAATGTACGGAACACTAAAAAAAAGCTGCATAAGGGAAAACATTTGAGGAGGAAGATTATCAATTTATTTAGCATTTGGAGAATTAAGGCACATTTTTTTTTAGAACAAAGTCTAAATGTTGTTAATAAAGGTAAACCTTTCAAGATTAAAGTATGAGTCTACAGAACACAAATGACTTGCATTAGTGCATAAACTGAAAGTTTGACTTCATTCTCAACGTTTCAACTCATATATTCAACATCTCCCCAAAAGACATCCTCATTTACCCCCACCTTTTGCCTGGCCTTGATACTCTTTCGTATCAAGACGTATTTAGTTCCTGTAATCGTGCCTCGGGATGTTTCTAGGTGCATATTTTTCTCATGATCCATTTCCTTAAAGTGAGGGATTTGACACAAATCGTGGGGAATTTGAAACTTATTTAGTATCACTTTGTCTGATCATGTCACTCTCATTCCTTCTGTTCCTCTTCCAAACTAAATGATACTGGATTCTTATCAAAAACAGACGTAAACTTTGCAAATATTGAAATAAATGTTAAGTTGTGTGGTTTATTATATTTGTTTATTATAATAATATAAGAAACAAAAAAAACAGGTGTTAGAATAAGCTGAAATTGTGCCTTAAATGTTTTATATCTATTTCAAACACTTTTTTATTACCGTTTGACAAAAGTGTATTGTGTTGCAGAGTTTCCGTTAGCAGGTAATTACTGGACTATGACCGGATATGCTGATGTTTAAAACTCAGTTAATGGGGCTCATTTTTATATTGCTTCAGTTTAAAATCGTAACAGATCGAAAAATTCAGATTCATTTTTCAATAAATGATTCCACAAACAACAAACAACATAATTATTACATTCAAAGAAACTACTTGTAGTAGATGAAGTACATTATTCAAAAGTTTAAATTAACTTTGAATAATAACACGGGAGAAACGGATCCTCTCTTTTCCTCTCTCCCTCTCTCCCTCTCTCTCCTGACAGCCCGTCAGTTTCTCATGCAGCGTGCTAAACAGTGGGCGGGGCTTCAGGTCAGACTCAGCAGCTGATCTGATCTCTCTCTCGCGTCCGGTTACACTTCACTCGCGTTTATGTCCATATCGATCAGATCCAGCTCTCCTGATCGGCCTTTATAGAGAGCACAGATCAAACTATTAAGAGTGAATATCGGCCGATAATGATCGGCGGCCAATCGATCGGAGCATCGGACATTTTGACCGGCAGGTTTTGAATTTACCGGTTTTTATTCAATTTTACAAGCTGAAAACCGGTAATTACCGGCTAACGGAAACCCTGCTATACATCTTATTCTATTTCGAACCTCTAATGCTATAAATACATTAAAAAAAAATCTGTCTTGCTTTGTTCCAACAAACAGATTTCTGTAACTGCTAATGTCCCTGTATGTGTTCTCTCAGCCACGCCAACTGAGTTTGGCAAAGTGTGTGATGCCTACACCTTCCAGTGTGCCAACGGAGTGTGTGTGAGCCTGGAGTGGAAGTGTGACGGCATGGACGACTGCGGGGATTACTCTGACGAAGCCAACTGTGGTACGGACGTGTTTGTTCACAAATAGAGAGGAACACACATATCAAATGATTGTGTCATTTTTTCTAAAGAAGAGGAAGTGCAGCAATGTTTCAGCAGCAGTATCAAGTGTTAACGTCTGCTGTGTGTGTTGCAGCGGCTCCCACCGAGGTCCCAGGCTGCTCCAGGTATTTCCAGTACGAGTGTAAAAATGACCGCTGTATTCCTACGTGGTGGAAATGTGACGGAGAAAACGACTGTGGGGACTGGTCTGATGAGGCACAGTGTACAGGTACACACACTAAGACTACACTAAGGCTTTTTAATTTGCACAGATACACACATATAAAAAGTTAGAAGTTAAGAAAAAGTTTAAATTGTACCTTGCCTATTAGATTTCAGTACTCATATGTTAAGAAGAAAGAGGATGAAAGAAAGAAAAAGTTATTTGAAATGTACAATTCATTTATTTATTTGTTCCACTCATGTGGTACATTATTCACACAACACATGTTCCCCTGGAGCAGTTCATAGCAAATTATTGAAAGGAGCAGGGAGAAGGAGCTGCCCGTTACTTCACAAACTTTTACAGTATTATAAAAGCAAAGAAACAAAAACAATTAGTCAACGCAACAGTCTACCAGCAGCAAAACATATTACCTCACATCTTCACACTGTCTAATGATTCTTTATTTATACATTTCCTTAAAACAAAATATGTTTGTACAGCTCTTTAAATCATGTGGTAAGGCATTCCATTGTTTAACCCCAAATACAGAAATACATAGAGAATTCTTTTTGGCAACCAGTGTGTTTATTTGAGTGACAGATATTAAAGGGGGAGACCCTCCGCTTCTTTAGCTGTGTTTATGTATGCACCATATACACCAAGCAAATTCCTCGTATGTGTAAACCTTGCATCAACCTGTTTCTGGTTTATATTTGAATTACCGAACGTCGTATCCCTCCCCAGTCATTAAACTTGAACCTCCTACCTTATAGGTGGTGGTACTCCTCACAACGTGTCCCCTGGCCCCTCCACTTGTGCTCCCAACCGTTTCCACTGTGGCTCCGGAGCCTGCATCATCGACTCCTGGGTGTGTGACGGATACGCTGACTGTCCCGATGGCAGCGACGAGCTGGGCTGTCCCACAGGTAGCTCCTGTCTGTAGCACTGCTTCAGATCACATCATCTCCTTCATCATTTTCATTTTATTAATTAATACTTTTATTTTTTTACCCGAGTTAAGACTAGAAAAACATCCCATTCAGTGCCAAACATGTATTAAAACTAACCTAGTTTCCCTGCTTTCAGATTATGTACACCACTTCTGTGTGCATATTCTGTAGATTTGAGTCCACCCCCTACACATCCCCTGTCCCCACCACCCTCTAAAAACAGAAGGCAGAATGATAAGAGTTTAAATGGTAATGTCGGAAATAACATTTAAGCTTCAAGGTATATGGGTTGTATTTTAACACATTGATTAAAGATTGGTGGTTTGATCTCCGGTCCCTTTAGTAAGCAAGTGTCCTTGGTAGAGGTGGGAGAAGTACTCAGATCTTGTATTTGACTAAAGGTAGAAGTACCAGAGTGTAAGAATACTCTGTTACAAGTAAAAGTCCTGCATTGCAAATTTTACCTAAGTACATTTTGAAAAGCATAAGAATCAAAATATACTTACAGTACCAAAAGTAAATGTACCCATTTCAGAATAATATATATTGTATGTTTTGATTATAATGATTGATCATTAAAGTGTTCTCAAAGCTGGTAAAGGTGCAGCTCATTTGAATGGCTTTGTATACTGCAGGGTAGCTTGTAAATGTACGGGCTGTGAGTGTCCTTGTCAATGTTTATTTCTACTTACAAGCTGCTCTCTGTGAAGTGGTGAATGGAGACTTGCATATTTGCCCATGCTACAACCTTCCACTAAGTTTTAAGACACTCAGAACCCCCTTGGCACATGTAAACGAAAAAGAACAATAGTTATAGTAAAAAACTGTTTTCTCATTCTCTTGCCCCACAGCAGCTAACGGCTCTGTGACGGTGGCTCCAGTGCCCACCCAGGCCCAGCCCTCGCCTCACCGCTGCACCCGGGGGCAGTTCCAGTGTCGCCGACCCCCCCACTGCATCCCCGACTGGCAGCGCTGTGACGGACAGCTGCACTGCGAGGATGGCTCTGATGAAGCCCAATGTCGTGAGTATAGTACACCGTCACACACAACCATAACAAAGTCTTGTGTACAAGATTCAAATCAAGCACGACAACTAAAATAGTTGAATGTGAGAAAGTGAAACTTTAAGTTCCAAGGTTTGAATAAATGCCAAATTTCATCATGGCATAATTAGCATATGCAGACCAAAGCTAAAACATATCTATGGTGTGGTTTTGGAGGTTATTAAGGTTGTTGAATCAATTTCTGACATTTTCCGAATCAAAGATGGCAGTTTTAATCAGAGAGTGGCCATATGTGTACTCCCAGTGGGCAAATTGTTTAACATGTACTGTATATATAACACAGTTGTGTATCAGTATTAATACAATATTAATGCTGAATTGCACAGTTTTAAAGGGTTTGGTTGCTGATTGTGAAGTTAATCCTTGTGCCATTTATTTAAAGTAGTTCTACCAAAAGTAAAATGTTATTTGTACTGAACCGAAAACCTTATATAGTAGAGGTTTAATCAAAATAATGTACTATCTTTTAGCACTGCAAACAGAAATACTGACTGTGAGGCAATCCAATAACAAGAAGATCAATGTAAAAAGTCTCCCACTCTCTCCCCCTTCTCTCCCTGCAGCCACCCGCGGGCCCCTCTCCTGCGTGAACGGCTCCCGCTGCTCTGATGGTGAGGCGTGTGTTCCTGACAGTGAGCGCTGCGACGGCTTTCTGGACTGCTCCGACCACAGCGACGAGGACAACTGCACCCGTACGTCCCAAACACTCTCCCCATCTCCACCTGTGTTTAGATATCAGTTGTAATTAATGTAGGTCTTAGTTGCATTTTCCTCAAAACAAGCTCAGGTCTATTTTAAATGCCAGTATGTTAATGTAGTACTTTACTATTCACTCAGTATTTTAAGAACAGTGCAATGCTGCCACATGCTGGCTGTTGGCGTATATTCCAGGCAGTGTGTTGAAGAGTTATGACGTTTTTTGGGGGGTTTTCCCTTTCCTGTAGTGTGTTATATAGGGTTTAGTGCATGTAAATGGTTCATCCAACTGAGTTTAAATGTTATTGGTCCCAAAAATGGATATGTTGAAATGAAGTGTTATATTATAGTTTTTCTGATAAATGTGCTGTTATTCATATGTTAATCTGTGAATGTATACAGTGTGATAGAGATTTTGTCATTTTTAAATTGTTTGTTGATTTTTATGTGTGTACCTGCCCAGGGACTGCAGATGCAAATGAGCTAATTGCTAAATCTGGTTCTTGTTTTTAAAAAAACTAGAATAATAAAGAAATTAGCCATTTCAAACGGTTTAATGAATCCATTTGAACCCCTCCCTCTCCTTCCAGAGAACACCCTGGCATATAAAGTCCAGAACCTCCAGTGGACTCCAGACTTCCTGGGGGCCGTCACATTGACATGGTCCCGTCCAAAAAGCCTCCCTCTGGACTCCTGCTACTTCCTCATATACTACAGGTGAGTTTTATTACCAGCATCTTTTGACCAGCGGATAGATAAGGCGTTATTGACCCTTTATGAAAAAACTGATATCAGCTATCCACGTTACAGCTGTCGCACTATGCGTTACTAGGGCCAGAGCATGGGGCTCAAATAGCTAGGGCACCGTTCCTAGCCCGTTTGTTATTATGCTGATTCTTATTATTCTTATTCTCATTATTATTGTAATAGGGGTACACATTTGAGAGGCACTTAGCATGCTGAAAAAGTTGTGAAAAATGTGTAATGATGTCAGGACTGGCGGGAAATCGTGAGGTTCTGCAGTGAATGGGTTCAAATTTGTTATCGTGCTCCCTACCGCCATCTATGGAAATGCAGTTTTTTTAACAACAAAAGAACTTGCACCCTAAGTGCGATTGACCTCAAACTTGCCCACATATCGGAAGTAGATTGGAAACATTCTAATTTGGGTTAGATTGACCGCATATCAGGGTGTCATGTGGAAGGAATAGTTGGTAGCTCAAACGGCAAGCTTGTAGTTCAAAGGAGAAAGTACCTTTCTTGCCGATTCTACATTTGTCAAATTATTCAAAACGACTCGATATCCACAACATTTGGTACACACAAACATAAAATGTATTTCAAATTGGCTTTCATTAGCAAAGCCCACCCAAAGTCGGCCATTTAGACATGCTTGATGAGAGTCCAGGGGCCTCATGTATAACGCCGTGCGTAGGATTGACGTGGGAAGGTTGCTTACGTAGTAGAGATCAGAAAAATAGGTCCATACATTTTCCGCCACTTTCCGATTCACCAAACATTGCGTACCGGCGAGGAAAGTGCTTATTTATAAATCACAACCGACTCGAAATGCGGTGCAGCTTTTGCGGGCTTCACGTAACGCCCATATTTGCCTATAAATAGTCAAAGAAACGCCCATTCATTCATTCATTTTGACTGATTTTATGAAGAAGATAGCAGGAACCTCACACCGTGTCAGATTTTGGTTATTTTGGGGAGGTCGAGATAAATCATATTGTTTGGTGGATGCAGTTTAAACCAGAGTAGCAGCATGGAGGTCGGATCGCCACCAAAATAAATAAATAAGTGGTCAGAAAAAGGTTAATGACAAAAAAAATACACATAGCCTTCCTCAGGCAGTGTGTTTGTACCGGGGACAGGAGACCCCCCCTGATGAGAAACTGTAAGAAATGATCGGGGAATCCCTCCGGAGTGGAGTCATGACGACTGGATCTGAATTATGTTTTTGTATTTGGCGGTTTGTGTCCCAGCTGTCAATCAGCTATGCGCAGCATCTCCACTGCAGCCTGTGCATCTCAACCCCCCCCTCCGCAGCAACTCTATATCCACCAGTTAAAGGAAATACAACTAATGTGTTGTGTTATATTAGCTGTACAATTTACCACATATGGTGTTCTTAGTTTCCATACCTCCTGTGTTTTACGAGGGACTTATCAAGTCTTGGCAAACGGCATAAAACACGATTAAACATGTATGAGTATATAAAACCATGCTCGTTATACAACCTATAGAAATGCAAAACGGCGTCAGTTTAGACGTAATTCTGTCCTCCTGCTTACCGCATCATTTATGAGAAAACATTTCATAACATTAACACAACATATTCGAGGTGGTTTTAAATAACATATCCGTATTTATTTATTTCTCCAAGTTATGTTTTTGTGTGCACTGAGGAGTCTCAAACAGGCGTTTGTTAAATCATTTTAAGATTGGCTTTAATCAATGTTTG